GATTAAGTCGCTAGTCTCTGCCACTTAACACCAATTTTGGATTATCAATTCAAATTCATAGGTTAACTGTTGTTTGGTTTGTTTTTTTTAAGTGTTTGGATGAAAGAAAATCTTATTTTATTTATTTTTCTGAGTATGTTCATTCCAGTGTGTGCTGTGCAAGTGTACGAGCATTGCGCAGTGTTTCTTACCATTAAACACAATAACATTGCCATTGTTAAGTCACTAAGCACCAACCCATTTTGCTGAATAAAGTCGTGTTAGTTTACACAATACACAACAATTCATATTCATTCATTGTAATAAGAAAAATAAACCCGCAGTTATAAATGTTATGTCCTAATCCCAAAATAAAATTGAGAAAGGATAGTGAAAGGTAGTGACATGGCCTCTGAGAGTCTGAACATCTCTTCCTTGGCTATGAGGAGTGCTGATACCTCCTCCATGGTTGTTTTCACTGCAGTCACTAGTGGGATTAGAATCATGTCTGTTATGTTTTATTTACCTCCCAGGAGGCAATTTGATTTTCCTCAGACTGTATTAACTGAGGAAAGAATCAGAAAGGTAAGGTTTGAAAAGTTGATAAGTGGTGCTGTATCTGATTCTGCACAACCAATGGTACCTCCTCCATTACTACCACTAACAAGGAGACATTGATCATTGTGCCACGTGGTGCAGGAACAAACAGACTCTCAGTTTATAATCTCAGGGATGTGTCTGCCAGCTCACTCATTTTGTTGGAAAAAAAGATTTGGTGTAATTTCTCATGTGGGCTCTATTTGGAATAGAAAAAAGTTACCTGCGCTCTTCCCAAATACCTATGCATATTTAAACAAATGGAGGTTATTTAGTTTCTCCAATGGCTATGAGAGACTTTAGCCCACCTGCCACGTCAAGGCAAACCTCTCAGGTGGGTCCTACACTAACCTTTCACCTTGCTTCATTGAGTTTCTGGCAAATATATCTCTAATGAGACAGAAATGGGTATTTTTTTATATACTCCCCTACATGCTTATTAACCCCTAATACACATGGGATGGGCAACAGCATTGTAGCATAGCTGTGTAATACAAAAGTGAAAAAAACAAATACAAAAAAACAAGTCCTGCACCCAAACTCCCATCAGTCCTGGATGGCAGCAACGAATATAGTACACATCAGCCCCAATATATACAGTAAAAACCAAAGAAAAAAGTTATCTGCGCTCTATCCAAATCCTTATGCATATTTAAATAAATTTAGGTTATTTAGTTTCTCCAATGTCCATGAGAGACTTTAGCCCACCTGCCACATCAAGGCAAACCTCTCAGGTGGGTCCTATATTAACCTTTCAGCTTGCTTCTATTTCAGAAGGTCTTGATGGTAAGGTATGTCTTTTTGATGATGATACTAAGATTTGCAACAGGGTTGGTGTTCCAGGAGGCATAAGCCAAATGGAAAATCATTTAAGTGAACTAGAAAAACGGTCAGAGCCGTGGCAAATGTAGAAAGATGTCTTCAATATTGAAACGTTGCACTTCTTCCTAATAAATCTGCTGTTTAATTGCATCCTAAGTGCCTGGACCACATTTTTGTTCAAAGTAGAGCTGTGGCAACTGACAATGAATGTGGTTAAGTGAAAGATAATTCATCTTGGGTGTAAAATCCCAAGGGCAGAATATAGAATATTTGTAGGACAGCCAAGATGTCCGGACGCACTTGCTAATAACTCTGGCAGAAACGGACAGAATCTAAACCCTAACAGTGACCTACCTCATCGGGTACAACTTCTCTAGAGGGCTGTAGTGCAACCATGGGGGCATGTAACGGTGCCCAAATCTTGAAGTTCTGCCCAAATAAACCACTGCCCGGCATTGCAGCCTAGTCTGCAGCATGTCAAGCATGCTCTCCCACCTCACGCACAACATGCAACAAATTTCAGCATGGGTCCTTGTTCCCCACTTTGGACTGGTGGGGGTTATCCCGGTCCCCACCAGCCTAGGGCTAACAGGTCACACAAGATGGCAACCACGACCCAGTGGCAGATACCTACACTAACAAAACATGGCGACCAGGGCAATCACTCGGTGGAGTACTACATGGTGGAACTTGACAAAGAGAGGTGCTGAGGAGTGGACACAAGGGGAGGGGCAAACCTCGGGTGAACCCTACAAAGCAGCTAACACTGTCTGTCCTAAATACCTTCCTGGGCCAAAAACCATATGGAGAAAGCCTCCATGGCACCGACCACACCTCTGGAAGCCCAACAGCAGCTGCCGGCGTATAACATCCAGGCTCTCCATGGCACCCGACAGAGGGGAGACCCAACCTCAATGAGTTACCAAGCCTGTGGACTGCAGGTGCTGGCCTTCATACCAGCCTGGGGTTGGAGGGCGGCCCCGTACACCCACAACTCACCATCCTCTTTTGGACACTCCCGGCTCAAGGTGCCTTCCTACCCAGCAGGGGTATTGGCTGACTGTTGATTTGTTTGGTCCGCAGTCCTGCTAAATAATGCTCCCAGACAAAAATGTACCTATCCTTATGGGACCCTACCTGATCTGTTCTGAGCTGATATCCCCTATTAGGCTCCCACCTTGATGACACGCTCATTTTTTTTTTTTTTTAATAGTCTTATTTTGGCTTGCTCCGGGGGGCTGGTGGTTTACCTAGCTTGTATATTAGCCTAGTTTTAAGATTCTCCTTTTATAAAACATGACATGCTCGATGTCGCCATGGCCTTAACTGCTACAAAGCTTGCAATCTATGTCGCTTAGTTATGTTTTGGTAAGGCTTTAGCTTAATCCTTGCTTAATGTGATGCTGCAACATTATAGGACAAAGAGTCCCAGCAGTATGTTAAACCCTAATAGTTAGCACTGCCGTTTTGCATGAGACTCTCTCCAGTGGTCATTTATTTTCTCTTACTCTATAAGTGTGTTCTATTGCATCTACACAAATCTATGTGCCTGGTTCATCCTAACTGACTAACAAGCGCTCCAGACATACACTCAGTATGTTATCCCCAGTACCGTCTCACTTCGTAGACACGTGTACCTAATATGACATCTTATAGTTTAATAGTGTGAAGTTTATCATAACACCCTGGGCCGCAGAATTAGACTTGTTTTATCATAATATTTATTTATTGTTATTAATCACTCTGTCTAACGAACCTTTCGTATTTACCCGCCTAGTTTCAGCCAATGTCTTAGGCATATCTTCCTACCATGCATATATGTAGAAAAAATTGTGCAGATATTGAATACCAAGATGTAACAGTTGTATCTTCATTTATACTCCTTAAGAATTACATTTTATTTGTACCATGAATAGTACACATATTACAGGCACAGCAAATCCGAGTATTTTTAGGAGCACAAGGAAACTTCTCTTTTAAGTCTACTTCTCCCATTAAATAGTTTTCTCAACATTAAATAGTTTTAAATATTTACATTTTTAATGCAAAAGGATTTTAACATACATAATTTATAGCTTAGATAAAAAAAAAAAAAATTGTATAAATACAAGATTATTGTAGTATGTAATGATACCTTCATATGATGGCAATACTAAAATTTTATATATAATCATGAAGCTTCTTCCTTACCTCACAGTATAAGATGAGCATCATGAGTATGCTTTGTGTGAGAGTTCATCTCCTAAGTATTAGTAAATTGCATGAATTATGACACTGCACAAGGTACACCTATATAAATTCTTGAAAAATGTTAATAATTAAATTAATATATTTAATTTCTAGCAAATTAAAAATATTAAAGCTCTTTAAAAATCTTTTTAAATAAGTTAACAATTTCAGGCTAGAAAATGCAGTAAGTACATAAACCCAGTCAAGCTAAGGTCTAATAAAGAGGAGAAGATTTTTGTGAAAAACACAGCAGAGAAATTAAACAAACTGTGATTAATTCAGTTTTTTCACAGTTATTCACTTTTTAACTTGCATCAAAATAATTTGTTGATTAAGTAAAAAATATAACTTCAATAAAAAGCCAAAGTATTCATTTGATTCACTGATAGGCTCAAGGGACGCTGTATCAAATAAAGCAGAAACTATTGCATAACAAGTCATTAAGTAATGATAAAAAAAAGATTCTAATTTACATTTTTTGTTGTTGAAATAAACAAATCATCTCTAGCTCAACATCACAGCAGATATATTAGGTAAATGGGGTCAATTACAAGAAAATGTTGCTTACTTTTATTTTTCATATTTAGACAAATAAAATTTCACATTGTACATGGTTATCTCTTTTGAAATAATTAAGAATTAGATACATTGAATAGGAAATTTAAATTTTGAGTTCAATCAGAAAGGGTCCTAATGAAGGTTTGATTTTAATGTTAGATTATAAGAAGGTTCATTCCATTTAGATCGGGGTTCAATTTTCAAGTAAATGTTCTGGAGAAGCAGAATAATGACACAATTTTACCTCTTTTGTCATCAATTCGAGGTGCACAGATTGAAGCTATTTAGTTTATTCCTCATAAGTGGAGGAAGGCAGTGTATGATTAAGTTTTTCTTATTTAAGTTCTCTACTTTCCTGTCAAGTTGAAATGTTAACTCTATTAGATCATTGAAGCTTTCATGAACAACTTTCCTGGCAAGTTCAGTATGTAAGTTCCTTGAAAACAGAATTTTTATTCAATAGAAATTATACAAGAATCATCATACGAATGAGAAAGTTTTTTTTAATGAATAAATAAATATTTCTAGAGAGTCTGTGGCAGTCAAAAGTTGATGAACTCAGTTTGAAGGATCACCTTGAAGGAAAGTAATCAATGAGGAATCATTATAGTAATTTCTAGGGATGTGCATGGGCAAAAATTTGGTTCGGTTCAGCACTTCTGAAATTCTGGACTTTGGCAATTCAGTACTACGGTTCGGCACTTCCGAAATTCTGGACTTCAGGAATTCGGCAATTCGGGATTTGGCAATTCTGGACTTCAGCACTTCGTGACTTCAGCACTTAAGGACTTCGGGAATTCAGGACTTCGGGACTAGGAGTAGGGTTAGGGTTAGAGGAAGGTTGAGGTAAGGGTTAGGGGTAGGTGTAGGGTTCGGGTTAGGGGTAGGGGTAGATTTAGGGAATTAGGGAATTTTAACCCCCTCCCCGACCTTCCTCTAACCCTACCCCTAACCCTAACCCTACCATTAACTCTACCACTAACTCTACCCCTACCCTTAATCCGAACCCTACCCATTCCCCTATCCCTTACCCCAACCTTCCTCTAACCCTATCCCTACCCCTACCCTTACCCCTACTACTTGTCCCGAAGTCCTGAATTCCCAAAGTTTGGGTAAGGGTTAGGGGTATGGTTAGGGCTAGGGTTAGGAGTAGGGTTAAGGGTAGTGTTAGGATTAGATTCCTGTCATCATTCCCTTAATTTTCCCTCCCTCTTCTGTTTTGGCACTTTTCAGAAATCCGGAGCACTTCAGAAACTTGCAGTATTCGGCACTTTGGCAATTCGGTTGGGTTAGGCACTTTTGAAATTTGCCACTTCGGCTATATGGGACTTCGGCACTTCAGCACTTTTGAAATTCGTCAATTCAGCACTTCGGCAATTCGGACATTCGTAAGCATCCATATGTCCGAATTGCCGAAATTCTTCCGAATTAAAATTCGGACCGAAACGAATTGCACATGTCTAGTAGTTTCTAGGTTTGAAGTTAAACACCAATTTACACTCAGTAATAAAGGTTCTAAATGGAGATTTCTCTCTACTGAATTTATTTGTTAAATAGAAGGTTCTGGGTAATTAGCAATTGCTGCCATGGAGGTTTGTAGTAATTGGATTTGATTTTGAAAATTCAGTTGCTTTAAATGCAACTTTTGCACTGTCTGTGCTAAATTATTCATTATGGATGTAACATTTTCCATTGACACGGGCTTATTTGGGTCATTCTAATATTCTGCATTTGTGGCTTGTTTATCATGTCATGATTGCTGGGGGGACCAGGGGGTGCATGCTAATGTTATGTTTTGCAATGAATGAAGGACGTAATAGCTGATATAGTAAATAAACAATATTTGGCATGGACTGTGATATTAAAGCCAATAAACAGTGGAGAGAGTATTATATTAAATGAACTGTAACGTAGAGTTGAATTAATGAAGATCACTTTTTGAATTAGGGAGTGCAACAGAAAATAAATAAATATTCATAATATTTATCATATACCATACACTGCACATAAAATAAACATGAATGAAAGGTAGGTTCTAAAGGTGTACTCTTTAGTTATACTGTATGCACATATAGCTTCTAGGAATGAAGTTGCAGCAAAGTTAGGAAGCAACGTGGGCGCTAAAATGTTTTGGAGTGGTTATAGATATAGAGCTGTGTATGTTGCCCATTAAACTGATAAACTAATGAAACTTGTTATATAGCATAGTGATATAGATTGAAGAGTCTTTGAATGAGTGGAGACAGAACAAGGCAATATTCGAGTTAACTGTGAGTTTAGTAAAGCTGATAACGTAATCCAAAGTCAAAAGGTATGGAAGGTATGGATTGAATCACGGTGTCTGTCTGAACAAGGAATCAGTACCTAGAATATTTTGTAGTCTTAGACATGACTGGACAGCTGAGGTCTGTTACCACTAATTAGGAGAAAACAAGGATGAACTGTGAGTGTTGTCAGGAAACCAGAGCCTAGATTGAAAACCAGAAATGTAGAGACGTAGAAGGGTGATCCATAAACATGGTCAGGAAACAGGAGGTCAAAAGCCAACAATATAGAATTAAGTCACTTGGAGCACTCTGAAAAGCTGTTGATAAATGTGTCTTCATGCATAAAAACACCACTGAACTGTGTGGACATATTACCTAAAGCAGTTACCACAACTCTAACCAGCAAACATTTAAAAATAAGATTACTGCTCTGCACATATGCACATATAATATTACAAACTCATGTAACTGAAATACTTCACTCTTTGACATCATCAATAATAAAAGAAAAGAAGCATTGCTATTTCATAATGGCTCAGATAATATAAAGGATCAGGGCATGTCTGGACTACAATGCAGACCACTGAGAAGATGCAGGACCCTTCATACGACAGAGACATATTGTAATCCATGACAGAAATGCAAATAATGACAAGTTATTGCTTAACCCATACAAGGCTCCTGATATTGTATGATATTCTAAAGAATGACTTGGAGCTATTGTCCTAGAGACATAGGGTAGTACATGGGATGGCATGGATGTTAAGATGCATACATTTCCATGCATCTGGCGGATTCCAGAGGACTGAGGGTGTTGTGAGTGGAATATCTCAGTCCACATTATCCAGGGTGCTGGGACATTTCCTCACTGCCTCACTTACTGTCAGACATTTGTCTCCTTTCCATCAACCAAAGAAGACTGGCAGATAGTGAATAGTTGTTTCTGTGGAAGGGGAGAATTGCCCAATGTCCTGGGAGCCATAATTTGCACCCATGTGGCTCTCAGGTCACCCTTAAAATGAAGAGGTGCTAAATAGGAACCACAGGCATCTCCACTCTCTTAATATGTTAGTTGAGATAATTTATACCATATAATAATTGCTAGCATATTTTGATCATGTCTAAAATATTTCATGCATATCCGATAAATTTTAATTTACATTTATTAAGTTTGGCTATTCAAAATTTAGATGCTATTAAATCGAGCTGAAATTTAGAAAAAAAAAAATCATTGCCAAAGCTAGTTGATAATTGGATATTTTAAATATTAAATCAACCTCTTTATTCTTCAACAAAGGAAACTAATTATATTATTCAACAATGGGTTATGGTTATAAAGAGGTTATGGTGCCTACAGTCCTTTGGCATCAGGCCTGTAGTCCGGCACCCAAAGATTAAATGGAGGGTGTGGAGCTATGCTCCACTTGCACCCATGTGGCTCTCAAAGATAAAATGGAGGATGTGGAGCTATGCTCCACTTCATACCATACCAGGGCTAATGGGCAGTCATAAGCTAAGAGCATCATCTCAATGCTTTAAACCAATCACAACCCTAGTCCATAGTAGGAATTGGTAGAGCACAAGGTGGAAGATTAGCTCTGCCTCAACCATATTGTCATTGGAGGCCAGGCTGCAGCAAGAGGTGGACTGACCTTCTCTGTTAATCAGTGAGTAAACTTTAGTAATGATGCTGGAACTACAATTCATGGACTCAAGGCAAGATAACCATTACAATCGATTTAAGTGGTTCTGGTGACTACAATGTTCCTTTAAGTTACCCTTAGTTTTCAGTTCTCTTCTATCAATCTTCCTTTATCTGTCACATGCACACTCTAACTGAATTATATAAAAAAAAAAAGAAAAAAGTGACAAGAGGAGAGACAGTGTATCAGGATATTCATTAACTCATTTTGTTTCTAACATTTTGTTTGTTTTACTCTTCACAGCTGGATCTCATTCATCCAAAAAAGGGAAAACTTAAATATAAAATTATCCCCTGTTCAAGAACAAAAATATGTTGAGATAATTGGATTGTAATGTAACAGAAATTTCTTAACTAACATTATGAAGAAAAATGTAATTAAAGGATTACTTCAACTACCATAACCACTTCTGCTTTTGAAGTGATCATGGTGGTAAGAGACTGAACATGCAGTGTTTCAGCATGAAACAATGCACACCCATATTTATTTTTAATTTTGTGTCTAGGGCTAGTTGCACCCCTTGACATGTGACTTAGGCAGTCACAATGCAAGTTCTGTGCATATTTTACATGTGTCGTCAGCATGCACTGCGTGATGATAAAGGGAAACTGTAGGCACCTAGACTACATCATTTCATTGAAGATGTCTGGGTGCAGTGTTTCTGTTGTCTTAACCCTGCAAGTGAACACATTTTAGACAAACCGAAATGCTTATATTGCAGGGTTAAGGCTGTAGGGTTTAGCTATGTGAAAGGATGCAGGATGCCCTCACGCAAATACCTGCAGGATACCTGTGATTAAAAGCTTTCATATGGAAAAGGTCTAATGACCACACAGCACTCACCATGCATGCTTCTCTATGAGAGGTCTTTGATTGGACCTCTGCATGGCTCCTGTTATATCAGATGTTGGCATGCGCTAGGAGCTTCGCCCGGCACTGAATTTAGATAACTTAAACTTATTTTAAAATTAAAAATATATAAAAAAAAAAATTTTGAATGGGGGGAGGGCAAAAGAATAATACCCAATAGGGCGTTGTTCAAAGATTTAAAATGGTTTGGAGAAACCATTTGAAGCTGTAGCAGTCAAGCACAATTTAGAGCTATTATTGTTTAAAATTATTTGCTTTCCTTGAGATGTATTGTATTTCTATTTTCTATATGCAATCAATTGTCTATCAAAGGTAAGCAAGGATAAGGTACAGGGAGGAGTCAATTTAAACATGTACCAGGTATGCATATTGCCAGTGGTGAATCCTGGTTTTGTGCTGCCCTAGGCAGGACAAAACTCAGACGCCCCCCTCCCACCTCCCCGCGTCACCCCACCCAACCATTCCCCCCGCCCCACCTTCTAAATACACACACACACACACATTCACTGACAGATACGCATACACTAGCTAACAGAAACACACACTCGCTAACAGAAACAACAGGGCAACAAGACACAGAAGAGGTAAGTTTAAATATGCTTAGGAGGCATCTGATTGGCTAACTTCCGATTGGAATTAATTATAACAATTGGAAGGTATTTGGGTCTTCCACTTTGACCTATGACACCATATTTGCGCTCTGAGTCATGTGACAAGCTGTATGCAAGCGTGCAGCGTCCAACTTGCCACCAGAGGGAGCAGCTGTGGGTGGCATGCGGGTGCTGGGAACCGCCGCTCGCAGCAAGCAAGAGTGTGAAGAAGCCGTGGGCGTTGTGTGACCCTGTGAAGCGACTGCTGGTGGCGCAGGTAGGAGGGAAGCTGCCACGAGCAGCGCGCGGCCACCCTGGACCGCTGCTCGCAGTAAACTGACACATATGGAGTCCAATTTACAAATCCTGTCTCTGAGATTACATAACCCAGAATACCAATTTCCGTTTGGTCAAAGAGACATTTCTCTAACTTACAAAATAGATTATGTTGTAAAAGTCGAGACGATACTCTTTTAACCTGTTTGTGATGTGTTTCTTTGTCCTTTGAGTATATTAGCATATCGTCAAGATACACTATCACACACTCTTGCTGGAAGTCATGTAATACATCATTAATGAGGTCTTGGAAGACAGCTGAATGGCATAACCGTGTATTCGTATATATCTGGTGT